ATAGTGGTACAAAAGTCCAGAATGTACCTCAGGGGACAGAAATGTACTTAGAATACAAAAAAAAAAAAAAAAAAAAAAAAAAAAAAAACGTACTCCTACTGTACCCTATTTTCTGACAGTGTGCCTTTGTCTCTAGGCACAGTTTTTATCCAATCAGAGGCTCCTTTATTGTTGCACTGATTGTAGCTGTCCAATCAGATTTTTGTGTAACATTTCACCTCACTGTGCATCAATCAAATGAACACTTTTGCTTGATGATCTGTATGTGGCTGTAAATAAAATCTTAGTGACTGATGTAGGAGTTTTAACTTTTTTTTTCCTTTTCTAAAAAAAAGTAATAATCATGAACAACAGTAAAGATAAATGCACACCATTTGTCCTCACTGATCTGTCATGTTCCACTCCACTCTAACACAACCGTTACCAGAAATGTTGCCTTTTGTTTTGTTTAAATGTATTTAATAACTAATTAAATTCACCATGGCACTATACTTGGAATGTGATATGGACACCTACTTAACTATGCATTCAACAACAAATATTACAAAAATAATAAGTAGACTATGAAACAATAAGAAAAATGCAAACAATGGTATATATTTTTGAAAAACTTGTTATGGTGAATAACTAAATATCTAAACAGTTCTATTATATTAATCAAACAATAATGTGGCAGATCTTGACACTAAAAAGCAGTAGCATCATGTTGTTCTTCCTGCCTGTTGTTTTAGATAAGCTAATCATATGATTTTGGGGGGCTTGTGCATTTGTTTTCCGAATGAGTGAACAATGTTTCCCATTGTGCCTCTGAGGGGTGTGTGGTGTGTTCATGTTTTTATTGTTATTTTATTATTTTTGGGGTTCATTTCAAATCGCTGTGTCCTGGCTTTCATCTTGTTCCAGCTGCATGTTTCCACAAATATGCCTATGTCCTACTTACTTAAAAAAAAAGTGCAATTGCAAATTTGGAAACAATTGACTAAATAGCAGTAGGGTTTAATGCTAAAACAGATCTTGAGTTTTTTTCTGTCTGATCTGGGGTGTCTGATCATTTTGTCTTTCTTCTTATCTCATGGAAATGATTGCCAAAAATATTCAACAGGAAACACTTATTTTGTTTACAGATAAGCAAATAGAAAAGTAATTTTCCTTAATTTATCTGCTATAGAACTTGTATTGCTTTTATTGTTTTATGAACTAATTTTGGATAACAATCACAAATTTACATACTTCAGAATCATGTTTCCATTATACTTGAACAATATTTTACTTTCTTTTATCACCATCTATGCATGAATGGATGATGGACGGGCACCTATGGTGTAGTTTTACTCACAGTGTTGCAAGAATTGTTCGTTGTGTAAGCTGTACCATCAAAACTCTCAAAGAATCTTTGGAGAATGTAGARTTATGAATCATTTTCAGCACACAAGTACAAGAAACAACACATACACAGGTGCATGATGCCCCCTTGTGTCACAATGAGCTCTAATTCACTCAAATAAATGGATCAGTGACGTCATTATCTCATTATGTGAACAAGGGTGCAGTTTCTGCAGGGAGGAAGATGTGGTGGGGTTTCTTCACTGTCTGGGCTCAGACAGGGTGTGGTAGGGTTGAATGCAAAGGTCAAGCTCTCCTGGGGGCTGTGGGAGTGAAAAGAAGAAGGCTTGTTTTGCTTAAAGTGCTGTCAAAGTGAATATGCCACAGCAGTGCTGCATTAGCAATTTACCAACAACCTTCCTGCAAGAACAGCCTGATCGTGTCTCCATACACATATTGCTGTCTATTTTTTTTTATTTCTTGCAACAGTTATTCAGATTCATTGAGTAAACTGAGAGTTTTACAAAAAAAGTAGTAACAAAAGCGGGTGTAAATAAATGCAAACTGGTGTTCCTTCCTTTGAATTACAAATGTTGTGAAAGCTGAACCAACAGGCTTCTGCATTAGAGAGTGTGGGCGTGTGAGTGTGTGTTTGGCACATATGGATCCTTGTCTGTACCCAAGATGGTGTTGCCATGGCTACAAGAGAGCAGTGTATGAGTAGAGAGGAAGCAGGAAAAAAAAATGGGGGGGTGGTCTCAGAGAGTGTTCGGATACCCTTCCCCCCATATTCATGAGAAATGTACAGCAGGCTCACATATAACACATTTATTGACAAATATGTGCACAACTGATGCAGCAAACTGTCCAAATATCACCAAATGAAGACYTCAGGTTTAAGTGCTATTTATAGTGGGAGTGTTTTAATAATGCAGTGGACACGCCTAAAATGTTRGACCGGCTGTTCCCCCCTCTGCAACCCCCCTCCCTTTTTTCTGCCACTCTCTGCTCTTTCCGGCTCTTTGATCACTCAACCCACTGAGCTTCTGTTAAAGGTGATACACAAAACCTATGGCTTTAAAAAACAGCTACAAGGGAGTAAAGAATGTTTGTTTTACCAAATCACAATTTATTCCATATTAAATATTCACTGGATTTAATTATCATATCTACAGGGAAYCATCTCCTGCATAACTGCAGACACAATTCATAAAATAAACAACTAAATAATTTATATTCTTCAGGAGCTAGAACACATGAAACAGTAATGATAAAGATTACTTGCACATCTATGCATCATTCAATAAGTCTTCATTAGGGTGAAAAGAGATAAATAGTGATCAGCTTCCTGTTTGGCAGATGTTTCCCAGAGGAGCTGCAACACTGAAGAAGATAGGGTGAGTTCATCTTGATGTGATCAGAGTGACCTTCACAGACTAACTGGCATAATGTGCAGTTCAAACTTAATTGCATCACAATTTAGGGACATTATTTGCTGACATACATTAAAATGTGGTACATTATAAGTCCTAAATGTCTCATTGTAAATGCAGAAAAACAATGATTGGTAATGAATGTGTGTACAAAGCTAACAGGCTGTAAAGTAAAAAGCCTGGTGAGAGTATCTACAGTTTGAAATCTAGTCTTAATCTAAATGGTTGCATATGCCGTGTTGATTTTATTAGAAGGATAATTCAGACAGAAATCCTGAAATGCTGATGGAATAAATCTGTGACCTATATTTTTCCCCTGAGCTGTCGAGGTATGGTGGACCAGGTGGTGTCCATGTTTTTGTCTGTGTGTGTTCATACAGACATAAATAAAGACTGTGTGTATTTAACAGGCATGGCACAGACCGTTGTCTCATTATAAAATTGAGTGCATAGGTCACTCATTGAGACACATTATTGTTATTAAAAACTGAGGTTTAACAGATTATTGCCACTGGGGGACGATTATTATTATTTTATTTTATGTTGTTTTTTTTTTTTTTCAAATCAAATCATGTTTCCTTCTGAATGAAAATAGGACATGAGTTTCTGAATCTGGTGCCTAATCCCGGGATTACACAGTGAGAAATCTCCATAAGCGCATAAATTKTGTCTCTGTGGAGATGCACAGGGACAGTGAAATATCTCCAAATAAAACACACTCACAGATTTGTTTCTCTGCGTGTGCTTCTGACGAAAGGACATTGAGAAGGATATATGGTTTGAAATGTTTTCCTTTTGTTGTTTTGGTCATAGTAAAACACCAAGGGAGCGAATGGAGGCAAATGGAGAAATGAATAAGATAAAAGTGAAAGTATGGCATAACATTGTGTTCATTATGTCGCAGTTCAAACATATTTTAACCAATTGTGCCATTTAATTAGGAGTATTTGGATTAGAAAAATGCAAATACTCAAATTTTAGCTCCAAGTAAATATTGTTTTAACTCAACATGATACTGTACATTGCTCAAAAAAAATGAAGAAAAAAAAATGTTCTAGATCAGGGGTCTGCGGCATGTTGTTCTGAAGACACATGCAGCTCTTTGTCCCACGGCTCTTAGAGTCTTTGACCAAAACATGCTTTGTTTGTCGTTTATAATCACAACAATGTTTTATTATTTTATTTTATTTTATTTTTTTTACCTGTAGGGCCGGTTTCTCAGAAGAAATATAGTAAGTTGATTAGATGACAATGAAAACCTGGGGTGGGAGGGGGGTACATAGGTACATAGGTACATATCCCTGTACAATGCAGTGTTTTGACTTTTATTAAATTTGGTATAAACATTTTTTCTTGTTTATATAAGATATTTTATTTGTCCTAAAGTGTAAACTTAACAATACATTTTATTCACTATATGATCAGTTTAATCATGTCGACCCCACTTGCCCAGAAATCCTCCTGTCAACAAACTCAAGTAGATTATCACAGTTGTAGCACATCTGCGGCTCTAAACACATTTTATTAGCAGGAGAATAAATGGCTCTGTTGATTGTTAAGTTTGCAGATGCTTATTCTAGATTCTTCAAAAGTATATGAATGCTGTCATGATTTTTGTTTTATGGTTCTTTTTGTTATAATGTTTCGGTTTCGTAGTTCATCTTGTGTCTTATTTCCTCATTTCTTGTTTTTTTTTCTGTTTTCTATGTCATGTTAGCCTCAGTAGCTTCTTAGTGGGATTTTTTTCCAGCCTGCCACTCACACCTGTCCATGGTCTGTAATCACCCAGTTGCTTTCACTCCTCAATCATCCTCAGTTGTATTCAACAGGCCTCTTGTTTTCATTGACCCAGTGGATCATAGCCTTATGCCCTATCTTGCCTCATGCCTTGTTGTTGCTCGTGTTTTTCATCATCATTATGTAATTTAATTTAATTTAATTTAATTTAATTTAATTTAATTTAATTTATTTTATTTTATTTTATTTTATTTTATTTTGCTGCCTTGTCAGCTTGTTCTTTTATTTAATAAACCACTTTTTGTTTTATTTCACCTTCAAACCACCTTGTCTGCCTTGCGTTTTGGGTTCACACCACCTTTTTTCTTAACAAATCTTGTTTTTCTTATGAGACTAAATAATAATCACTGCGGTCTGCAGATTGAATCTTTCACCACCTGGCGTAGCTGTTGATCCACCAAATCCAGCCCTGCTTTTTTTTATTATTATAACGAGGCCCCTCCTGTTTTCAAGCCATAGGAACATCTCAGTCTTTGTTACAAATACAAGGAGGACAGGACATCCAACACTGAACATTCATTAATTTAATTTTATTTATTTGTATCCTGCTTAAATCTTCTACACTGGATTGGAAATATTTTCTTCTTTTTTCGCTTAAAATAGAAATGTATTTGGATCAGAGATGGAGCAATTTTGGAATATATTTGTGCCTTCTTTTGTTGGACTGCTGTTGGCAGACGGTGGCTGGACAGCTCTCCTACACCGTCTCAGAGGAGGCAAACCCGGGGACTGCGGTAGGAAACATTGCAAAGGACCTAAATCTGAGCGTACATGAGTTGGAATCCCGCATGTTTCAGCTGGTTGCGGGATCAAAGAAAAAATACTTGGAGGTAAATCTGAAGAGCGGCGTTCTCTTAGTCAGCGAGCGGATAGACAGAGAGGAGCTCTGTTCGCATGAAGCGAAATGCTCACTGAACGTAGAAGCGGTGATAAACAGCCCTTTGAAACTGTATCGCATAGACGTGGAGGTTTTAGACGTGAACGACAACGCCCCGCTGTTTTCCACCAAACAGCAAAGCCTGTGCATCGCAGAGAGCACTTTGCCCGGGGTGAAATTTGCTTTGTCTGAAGCAGCCGATGCAGATATGGGGAGAAACGGGGTCGCTACTTACAAATTAAGCCAGAACGAGCATTTTTCTTTAGCCGTGAACAAAGCGGGTGACAGCATGTCTGCTGAGCTCGTGCTGCAGAAAGCATTAGACCGAGAAAAGCAGCCTGTGATCACCATGACGCTGGTAGCTGTGGATGGAGGTACTCCTCCAAAGTCAGGGACCTCACAGCTTCAGATTAATGTCTTAGATAATAATGATAATATTCCAATATTCAGTGAATCTCTTTATAAGACAAAAATCACAGAAAACGCACAGCTTGGCACAACAGTGATCACTGTGCGCGCCACAGACGCAGACGAGGGCGTAAATAGTGAGCTTGTTTATTCCTTAAGAAGCAAAGATCAAGATCACGTGCTGGATATTTTTGAAATTGAACCCGAGACAGGTGTCATTACTGTTAAAGGGAGTATCGATTTTGAAGACAGGCGGGCTTTTGAGATACGTGTAGAGGCCAGTGACAAAGGCCAGCCTCCTATGTCTGCGCACAGTAAGGTGCTGGTGGAAGTCCTAGACCTAAATGACAATGCACCTGACGTTACGGTGACGTCACTGCATCGCACAATAGGAGAGGATGCAGCCGCAGGGACCGCGGTGGCGCTCGTATCGGTGCTGGATAAAGATGGTGGGAAAAACGGTGAGGTGACTGTTCAAATTACTAATCAGGTTCCTTTTCAACTGGAAAGAAATTACAAAAATTATTATTCGCTTTTAGTTAACGGGCCTCTCGACAGGGAAAGTGTCTCTGATTATAACGTGTCTATAGTTGCTAGTGATAAAGGGAGCCCGACACTTTCGAGCACAAGCATAGTTTCAATAAATGTGTCAGATGTAAATGATAACCCGCCAAAGTTTTCAGAGACAGAGATTAGTGTATACGTGAAAGAAAACAGCGCAGTGGGAGCTGTCATTAAAACGGTGACTGCAACTGACGCTGATAGCGGCCAGAACAGCAAGGTGAGATATTCATTTTCACAAACTAACAAGGAGAAAACATCTTCATATATGTTTAATATTAACTCAGAGACAGGAGACATAATGAGTCTGCAGTCTTTTAACTATGAAGAGTTAAAAACATTTCAGTTTAAAGTTCAGGCCACAGACTCTGGTGTTCCTCCGCTCAGCAGCAACGTGACTGTAAATGTTTTAATCCTGGATGAGAATGACAACAGTCCCACTATTCTGGCTCCTTATTCTGAGCTCGGTTCTGTTAACAGTGAGACCATCCCCTATTCTGCTGAGGCGGGATTTTTTGTGACAAAAATCAGGGCTGTGGACGCAGATTCTGGATACAATGCGCTGCTTTCTTATCACCTGTCTGAGCCCAAAGGAAACAACCTGTTCAGGAT